ATTACTGAAGAAAATACTTCCTTAAAAATTAGAATAGAGCAATTGGAGACTACTGACTTTATGAGAAATCAAGACACTGTAAAACAAATCCAAAAGAATGAAAAAATAGAACACAATGTGAAATATCTCATTGGAAAAACAACTGACCTGGAAAATAGATCCAGGAGAGAGAATTTAAAAATTATTGGACTATCTGAAAGCCATGATCAAAAAAGAGCCTAGACATCATCTTTCAAGAAATTATTAAGGAGAACTGCCCTGATATAGTAGAACCAGAGGGCAAAATAGAAATTGAAAGAATCCACCAATCTCCTCCTGAAAGAGATCCCCAAAGGAAAACTCCTAGGAATACTGTAGCCAAATTCCAGAGTTCCCAGGTCAAGGAGAAAATATTACAAGCTGCCAGAAAGAAACAATTCAAGTATTGTGGAAACACAATCAGGATAACACAAGATTTAGCAGTTTCTACATTAAAGGACCACAGGGCATGGAATATAATATTCTGGAGGGCAAAGGAGATAGGATTACAACCAAGAATCACCTACCCAGCAAAACTGAGTATAATCCTTCAGGGAAAAAAATGGTCATTCAGTGAAATAGAGGACTTTCAAGCATTCTTGATGAAAAGACCAGAGCTGAATAGAAAATTTGACTTTCAAATACAAGACTCAAGTGGAACATGAAGAGGTAAACAGGAAAGAGAAATCATAAGAGACTTATTAAGATTGAACTGTTTACATTCCTGCATGGAAAGATGATATTTATAACTCATGGACCTTTGTCAGTATTAGGGTAGTTGGAAGGAAAAAATTATATATATGTATGCATAGAAAGATAGATAGAGGGCACAGGGTGAGTTGAAGATTAAGGGGTCATATCTGGAGAATAAAATTGAGGGATGAGGGAGGATTATACTAGGAGAAGAAGAAAAGAAAAGGCTCTTACAGTGGAGGGGAAACGGGGAAGGTGAGAGGGAATGAGGGAATCTTATTCTCATAGGATTTGGCTTAAGGAGGGAATAACATACACATTCAATTGGATATGGAAATCTAGGGGGAGAAGGGGACAAGAGAGCAGGGGGATGATAGAGAGGAAGGCAGATTGGGAAAGGGGGTAATCAGAAGCAAACACTTCTAGGAGGGACAGGGTCAAAAGAAAGAATAGAATAAATGGGGGGGTGGGATAGGATTAAGGGAAATAGAGTCAGTTTTTCACAACATGACTACTATGGAAGTGTTTTGCATAACTGCACATTTATAAGCTACATTGAGTTGATTGCCTTTTCACTGAGGGTGGGTGGGGAGGGAGAAAGGGAGAAAATTTGGAACCCAAAGTTTTAAAAACACATGTTTACTATTATATTTTTTTATTTATTTTTAACGTATTTACCAATTATATTTTAATTTGATTCAGGACACATTTAGGGGTGCTGAAGGCCTGCCAAGTATTTGACACCTCTGTTCTAAACAATTCTCTAAAACTGTAAATTACAGAGAAGATGACTTCCATTGGTAGAAGGAATTTCTCCTCCCAGGACTTCCCTATACTAATGAAACCACATGTCCAGACTCTATACTAATCCCTATCAAGTCAATAAATATTTATTAAGGTAGTACTGAGAATGATGGTAGTACTGAGATGGAATACTAGTCCCTGATCCATGAAGACAAAATATAATAATAACTAGTATTCATATAACACTTTAAATCTTGCAAAAACCTTTATAAACATTATCACATCTTATCCTCACAACAATCCTCAGAGGTAAGTTCTACTGTCACCCCCATTTTACCGAGGAGGAAACTTAAGTTGACATAGTATATACGACAGCACCACACAGGTAATAAATATAAGGCAGGATCTGAACTCAGGTTCTCTTGACTCCAGGTTCATTTCTCTATTTGCTGTACTATTTAGCTACCTTTATTTCATGGTGTCTGCTTCCTGAAGTCATAAGTCACTGTTCAGGGAGAGAGACATAACAGGTCAGACACTACTTTATTCTGAATTCTGTTTATCCCATACAGTCATTTCATCAGTAAAACTGAAAATTTTTACTTTGTTGTTTACAATCTGAATTCTCTACTTCCTTTTTTAACCTCAATGATATAGTAACTTTTTTGCCGTGTGTGGGACCTGGCACCAATACCACCCCATGAAAACAGTGAAGATTCTATTATCCCCCCTTGCACTCATTGATTCTATAATTGAAATTTATCCCTACAAATGTGCTACTTCTTCAGTGCATTTTTATGTTTAAATTTTTATCTTTAAGTGAGGCATAAAGGTCCTGTTGAAAAAAAAAATGAAGCCAGGAAAAGAGCTGCAGGTCTGAAAATGAGGATTTTTTTCTGGCTTCTGAAGCCATAAAGGACTACACATGTTTAAAAAAAATGTTTTCATATGCAGCTGGGAAATAAGAAATACAGGAAATGGGGTACAGAAGTCTATCCTGCCCTACAGGAAAATAGAAGGGGAAGGGGATAAGAGAAAGGGGGAGAGATAGAAGAGAGGGCAGACTAGGGGAAGGGGTATTAAGAATGCATGCCATCTTGGGGTGGGGGGAGGGGGGAGATAAAGTGAAAATTTGGAACTCAAAATCTTGTGGAAGTAAATGCTGAAAACTAAAAATAAATAAATCTATATTAAAAAAATTTAAAAAAAAGATGTGTATTTGATCTTGAGCTCCAGTAAGAAAAGCCTCAATTCCAGGAATAAGGAGGCGAGAGTCCTTTTTAGGACACTACTCTGGTCAGTATTCTGGAGTATTGTGCTCAGGAAGGACACTGATAAGCTGAGGTGTATCTGAGGTAGGGAAACCAGGACGGTGGAAATCTTTGAATTCATACAATATGAGAACTGGTTGGTAATTAAGGATGCCATTGTAGGCTGGGGAAGCAAATGTTTGTGAGGATATGATATAAATATTCAAGTACAAGGACTCAGGAACAATGGGTGAAAATTTCAAAAAGGCAAATTTAGGCTTGATGTTAAAAAAAGAAAAATCTTTCTAACAGAGCTATCCCAGAATGGAATGGGTTAGTGGAAACTCTGGATGTCAAACAGAGGTTAACTGTAGCATGTTGGCTACATTATAATGTGGATTTCCTTTGGGCATGGGATGGAGTAGGTCTCATTTAACTCTAAAATTCTGCAATTCTGGTTCCAAAAAATCAAGTGATCTAGTACAGGATGAAGTCAGTATTCATAAGTAGTAGTTTATATTCCAGAGATATAGCGTTTTAGTAAATTGTGAACTTATTAAGTCAGTAGTAAGACATGGCAAACAAAAAAATTAAAAAAAACCTTATCATCAATTTAGTCTCTGTTATTTTAAGGCTGGTATCTAGAATGAGGAAGAGGATGGTCTCAACTGTATTTTTTCATAATCAGAATATATTTTGTTCTGGATACATTTTAGGGAGACAGTGGCGTATGATGGAAAGAATACTGGATTTGAAGTCAGGACTCAGGCTCAAACCATAGCTCTGCCACTAACTACCTGTTCAACCTTAGTCTTAAATTTCTTATTCATTAAAATGACAGGGGGACTACATGGCTTCTGTGGTTTCTCCTAGTTCTGAATCTACAACCTTGTGTTCCTAGGAGCAAAACTGATAAATTAGAGGAAATCCAGAGAAGAATAAACATGATGATATGAGGACTAGAAGCCAAGCAATATGGGGATCAACTGAAGGAAATGGGGATATTTAATATAAGTACAGACAGCTTGGGGTCAAGGAGAATATGGTAACTTTCTTATTTGTGGACAATCACAGAGAATAGAGATTAGACTTGTTTTGCTTGGTCCCAAAAGGCCAAAGTTAAAAAGGATGATTTAGACTTGATATATTAAAAAACTTCCTAGTTATTAGAACTGTCCAAAAGGGGAACATACTGCCTGGGGACATAGTGAGTCCTTCACCACAAGAGGTTCTCAGTTGAAGGCTAAATGGCTCTTCATCAGGGATGTTACAGGGGAGATTCTTGGTTAGGGTGCGAGTTCCTTCCAGAAGGTGGAGAAGAGAAAATGTTTAATGTGTCTTTCAAAGCAGTAGGGAGAATAATGGAGCCTTAGGGAAAGAATGTATGTGAACAATCAAATGCAGAAGCTCATCAATCAAGCTGATAGGCAAGCGAGAAGCCTTGGCTGGGCAGGATACCACAGAGAAGCAAATTACCACAACAGTCCAGGAAGCTTTTCAGAATCACAGAATCTCAGAGATGAAAGGATTTGAAAGGTCAGCTAGTATAGTAGATACTAAATAAATGCTTGGTAACTGAACAGAAGATAGAACATCAAAATTATCTATTTGCCAACTCTGCTTCAGAAAACTAGTTAGCATAATTGCTTAGAAGCAATTCACTCTCAGATAGGAGAGGAGGAAATAAAGAACTTAAGGACTAGATGGTCTACAAACTAAATAATAAAGCATTGCTGTTAGTACATTGTGCCTCCTGAAAAGTCTGGAAAAGTTACCGAAATTAATTTACCTCTACTCACTCAAGGCCTCAAACCCATTGGATGACTACCATTCCTGCTATATTTCTACTAGTGAAATATTTAAGGTTTCTTCTGACCCTAACTCATCTTAAAATCTATAACTGGTAAGAACAAAACAAGTTTTGTTCAAAATCTAGAACTGTCACTGACTGATTTTGGGGATACATGGAGAAATTAATAATATGGAATCTGTCATGTTAGAGCAAATTAAATATATAAAGTATAGAATCATAGGATCAAAGATCATAGTTTTCAATCAAGAAGGCACCTTAGACACCATGGAGTTCAACTCTCTCATTTTAAAAGGGAGGAAACTGAGGGCCAAAGAGGTTAGGTGATCTGCCTAAGAGCTCCCAGGCATAAAGATGGGTAGAGTTTGAACCCAAGTCCTTAGATTTCTAATTGGCTCTTTCAGTGTTTATAAAGCATTCTGTAAATTGTCAGTATTATCAAGTATATATTGTACAGTAAAGAAAAAAAACATACACATACATACCTTGTTCATCTGAAGGTTTTGTAGCTGTTGTTGCCAGTTAAGGATAGTTTCTAACCTGCAAATCCAAATATTGATATTTCCAATCAAAACAGATTTTCCTACTCCCCTAATAAGAATACAAAGTGTAGAACTCAGATCCTGAAGAAGATCTTTGATGAGGCGAGGATTTTGCTGGTCATCCAGAACTGGAAAAAATAAAGCCAGTGTAAGAGTTGGTGCTGGAGTTCATCATCAATTTAAAATTTTTCAAATTTTACCATAATTTTGAAGAGGCCCTGCTTCCAAGATGGGAAAAAAATATGATAGTTTTCGTGACTTCCTAGTAGTAATTTTTTTTGAGGGAGAGGTGTGGATAATTTAGGAGCAATTTTTACAGTTTTTTTAAAGGCAATGTAATATTTCAATATACTAATTAATAGTGACTTTAAAATTATGAATGTAAAACAATGTAACGTTTAAGTGTCATGTATACTTTTAACTATAGATTTCTGCATATGCACACTTGTTCAGTCATTCAAGTTATGTCCTCTTCACTACCTCATGGCCCACACTGTCCGAGGGGTTTTCTTGGCAAACATAGTGGAGGAGTTTACCATTTTCTTCCCCACTGGATTAAGGCAAACACAGATTAAGTGACTTACCCAGGGTCACATATCTAGTGTCTGAGGCCTGATTGGAACCCAGGCCTTCCTGACTCCATGCCCTCCACTAAGCCATCTAGCTGCCCCACTATGTGCACTCACCAATAGATGTTTACATGGACACACTTATATATGTATAGCTGTTACCTGACAGAGAATTTAAAACACACTTCTGAAAGGCAATTTACCTTCACTTATGAACGCCTACTAATTAATCTCAGAAGTATCTATTACCTAAACAAACAAATCTCTGGATTTTCTAATGTGTAAATTGAAAAACTGACAGCTGATTATTTTGCCTTGTTAGGGCATTAGTAAGTCGCTATCTAAAGGAGGTAAACCATCTCAAAAATTTAAGGAATAAGTCACCTTTCTGATTATCAGAATGATACTTTGCATGCTTGGTACAAATGCCACAAAAAGAAAAATATGAAACATTTAGAATGAAAAGATTTATGTAAAATTTCTGTCTCATACATCTCTCACTTTAACAACTGATATAAGCAGTACATATACAAAAAACCAAAACTGTATCACAGAAAGTTTTTTGATCATGACTCCAACATACCAATCATTCTTACCCTTTTGAACGATTTTGTCCAAAATGTTAAAGTAATTTTTTTGTGCTGCTCCACTTAATGAAGTTAACTGGGATTTTGCAATTAGCTGCAAGAGCTTTAAAAGAAAAAGAAAATAGGATGTAAACTATTCAATAAAGAAATATAAATTATAAAACAATGAATTATATATTTACAAAATGCTAATATGTTGCTGTAACATTTAAATGCCCAACTACCAAAACATTTAATATTTATGAAAGGCTCAGACTCAAATCTTAAAGGATGTTTTGTATAATCCATGAGAAAGTAGCCAGGTTTATGTTAATGTTTACCTCTGGCCAGTAGGGACAATAAAGAATCTTTGGGGAAACAGTGTCTCTTTATAGTAAAAAGCTTCTAATCCATTTAAATTGAGAACACCTGCATTCAAATTAATAGCTTTGTGATCCCTTAGTAAATTTCCCTTACTGAGGCTAGACTGACTCATACCTAAAACTAAAAGGGTATAGATCTTGGGTTAGTAACTTTTTGTTTTTTGTCATGAACCCCTTTGGCAGCATTGTTCTACAATCTCAGAATAATTAAAGGAAATGCTAAATTTCATTTAGAGGATAGTGAAAACAAAATATTTTTTTCCCCTCATCCAAGTTAATGGCCTTCTTGAACTATATCCATGGACCCAGGTTAAGTAATCCTGAGCTAAATGGTGTCTAAGGACCATTCCTATGTTGACAATCAATGAGTTTATCAATTATGGGAACATGGATAGAGAAAAGTGAGGAGGCTTAGCCTTTGAAGCTTTTCAGTGCCAGGGAGAGGTATCTAATAGGAAATGGCAGGCCAAGACAACACTGAAATTCCAAGCTCTCCCTACCTTGACAACTGGGGATTATAGATTACAGGGTTCTGTTTTAGTGGTAAGGGATAGATTTAGCTAAAGGAAGTAGTAGTATTCTGCATCAAGGAAAACAAAGCCTATTAACTATACAGACTTTTGGATTTTTATAGAATCAAAGACTCTCATAGTTGCATGGGATCTGGGAAGACAACTAGTCCAAACTGTACCTGAGAAAGAATCTCTTCTATGAGAGACCTATTAGACTAATGGTCATCCAGTGTTGGAAGTTTGTTGGAAGGATTTTACTGAGGTACAGCCCAATAACACCTGAGGCAGCCTATTTAATTTTTGAACAGCACTAATCATTGTTAATTTTTTTTCTTTTCAACAACTCTAAATCTGTCCACTGCTCCTAGCTTTACACGATGGGACCAAGCAGAACAGATACAATATTCTTTCTTTCATTTGATGGTCTTTTAAATACTTAGAAGGGTCATAGATCTAGAGCTGGAATGGAGTGCAAAGGCTATCTAGTCCAGATTCCTCATTTTACATTTGAGGAAACTGAGGCCCAACAAGGTTACTTGATTTGCTCAAGGTCACACAGACCATGGGTGGGATTTGAAACCAGGTTCTCTGACTCTAGAGCCAGAGCTCTTTTCAAACACACCTACAGTATCCTCAAGATTTCTGCTCTCTAGATATCTCTCTCTCTCTCGTGCGCTCTCTCTTTGTCTCTCTTTCTTACACACCTGCATCTAGCCACTCTGTTGAAAAAGGAACTCAGGCTTGTTTGCTATCTCTTTTAGAACTATTCACTGATCATCTCTTCAATAATACATACTAGAATTTTGCCAGAAATTAAAATCAACCCCACTGCTCTGTAGTTTGCAGACTGTTCTTTTCTCCTGTTTGAAAATGGGGACAAAGTTTCCCCTTCTCCATTTCTCCCCTATTGCTGATGATCTTTCACAGGTTCAGCAATCAGATCTACTAGTACTTTCAGTGCTCTGGGCTACAGTTCATTTGGGCCTTGAGATCAGGGCTCATAAAAGGTATCAAAGGTGCTCTCTTATTATTTCCCCTACTGGTTTTGGAGATTAATGCTTTACCATCCATTTCTGTTGTGTTATACCGAGCCCAAAGATTATTTTTATTGGCAGAGAAAACAGAAGCAAAATCTCACTTATTCATTTCAGCAGATTTGTTATAGAAGGCCATTTGACAGACAAGTTGGTGACTGCTTGTCCCCAATTGGCTAACAGTTCACATCAGCTTCTGCAATTGAATTATTGCTACATTTTCTTTGTGTAAAGTCAAAATGCCATCTTTCCTCCCTCTTTGAGATAAAGTGAATATTGCTTACTATTGATTGTTCTTTGGAAGGGAAGCTTACTCTACCAGTTGGCCCAGGGTGTACTTGTTACGTTAATGAATATGCTAAAACTGGTCCATGACTCTGACATCAGGTGTCCTTGTGATATGAAACCTTTTTTTCATTTTCCCTCTGCAAAACAGAAGTACTGAATTAAGCCTCCCTGTGAGGTTGGAGTTAGATACCAAAAGTACTATGCATTTCCCATGCTTGATAATTTCCACTGGTTCTCTTAAGGAGCTTAAACTCACCTCTCATCCATCTTTTCTATCTTTCCCTGAAGAATTAATCAATCAATAAACATCTATCAAGTACCTACTATGTTCCAGGCATTGTGCTAAGTGGTGGTAATACAAAAAGAGGCAAATGATAGTAGTCCCTGACCTCAAGTGGCTTATAATCTATTGGAAGACAAAATATGCAAAAATATATACAAAACAAGCTATATACAGAAAAAATAGTAAATAATTAATAGAAGGAAGGCAATGGAATTGAGAGGTATTGGGGAAGGCTTCCAGTAAAAGAAAGTATTTTAATTGGGACTTAAGGAAGCTGAGGAGATCAGCAGGCAGAACAGAGGAAGGATAGTGCTCTAGGCAAGAGAGACAGTCAGAGAAAATGCCAGAGAATCATTTGTAACCTGCTCTGGAAAGACCTACAGCCAACATCAGACTATGCCCTTTCTCTCCCTCTCCCTCACATATTTTATGGTTTTTGTCACATCTCTGCCTCCTAATCCTGCTCTTACAAGTTCTTGTTGGTGAGTAAAAATCAAGGGTCTAGAACAGTTCCCCTCATTGATTTCTTTCCATTTGAAGTATGAAGTTACCTTTAAGGAAGATCATATTCCTGAGAACTATTCCATTGTCAGCTTAGGAGTCAAAGGATCATAGCTTTAAGGATAGATAGAACCTCAAAGGCCATCTAGCCTAATGCTCTCATTTTAATAATAATGATAATATTTATGTAGCTCTTACTATGGGCCAGGCACTGTGCTAAACACTTTTAGATTATTATCTCATTTGAGACTCACAACAACCCTGGAGGAGGGTGTTATTATCCCCATTTTACACATGAGGAAACTGAGGCAGAGAGCCATTGTGACTTGCCCAGGGTCACATAGCTAGTAAGTGTTTGAAGCCACATTTGAACTCAGGTCTTCTTGACTCTAGGCCCAGTGCTCTATCCACTGCTGCGACTACCTGTCTAGAGGTATGACTTGATGGTCAACCAGTTACAAGATGTTTCCGGGGTAGTATCATCTGCCTTTCACCCAACTGCCCAGAATCTAACTGCCCTTTCAAAATGAATAAGAGCTTGTCTACACATTTTGATAAGGTTATAGGAAAGTTCCTTAATATTTAATCTTATTGACTGGCATAGGGGTAAAACCTCACCATTACATTAGTGATTCATTTTTCTAGAGCTCTTTACTGCTTATAAAATACTTCTCAGGACAATTATGTGAAGAAGCCAGTGTTGGTGTGCCTTTATCATTATGCTCATTTTGCTGAAGAAACAGAGAGATTGTTACTTGCCAGTGGATACAAAGCTAGCAACTGTCAAAGCCAGAACTCGAACTCAGGTCTCTAGACTTCAAATCTATTTTGCACACATTTGTTTGCATGTTGTATCCCTTATTGGATTGTGAGCTCCTAGAGGGCAAGGGGTTTCTTTCACCTTTCTTTGTATCCCCAGTGCTTAGCATATCGCCTGGCACATAATAGGTGTTTAATATATTCTTGCCGATTAAATGACCAGCCCTGAGGAACTCACACTCTACCCAGCAATACAATATGTTGAAAGAAATTATTCTTAATAATCATTGATTTGGGGAGATCCAGAGTTTTCCCCTCTTTTCTAAAGTCCTGATTTCAAAAGTTCAGTCTCTTGAAGGGCATTACTGATAATGAGATTGAACTAACTCTCTTAACAATCTTGTTTAGACTCTACCCAGTGGGGAAGCCATTGTGCTCTATTCTGGTTTGGGTGGAAATAAGTTCTTTGAATAGACTGCCCAAGGCTGGGAGTAACTTAGAAGTAAATGTCATAATCAAAGTTCACTTGAATAGATTCAGCCCCTCATGATATTCATTCTCTCACTGTTAACCAATCAGACTTCATTGCCATCTTCAGTAACACCCCTCTTTCAATGGGCATATAAGCCATGAGCCCACCCAAGACTGTCTTTGGTCTAAGAAAGAGATGGCCAAATGGCCATGCTTTTATTATCAGACATAGTAGCATTATTAATAAAATGATTAAAATATTCAGAAATTATGTCTCTTGAATTTTTTAAAAATCACAGTGTAAAACAAGGAAATATGAGATAACTGAAGAAAAAAATCACTAATAACTAGCAGGCAGATATAGGCTTACCACAAAAGGTAAGCCTAGGCTGAGAAGCTAAAGATTGTAAGAGGCAGAAATAAAGAAGAGATGCATTTGAGGAACTGGGGTGGGCAGTAATATTCTGTGAAACATTTTGTAATGAAACAACAGTTAGGTCAGTTTGGCTGTAATGGGGAGTACATAAAAGCTAGAAAATATGAAATAAGTCTAGTAAGGTAGACTAGAAACAAATTGTGGAGTATTTTAAATGCCAAGTTGAAAAGTTAGTATTTTGTCTTCCCAAGTTTGTCTGAAACCACAACTTGTTCAGCCATTTGATAGCATTCCCTCAATTTCCATTTCTTTGCTACCACAAAGAAAGCTGTTATAAATATTTTTGTACATATAGGTACTTTTCCTTTTCCTTTGCTCTCTTTAGAATTCAGACCTGGTGAGAGCATTGCTGAGTCAAAGGGTATGTACAGTTTTATAGCCCTTCAGGCATAGCTCTAAATCATTCTCCAGAATGATTTATTTTACAACTCCACCAGTTATTAGTATGTTAGTATTA